CTAATATTAATTCTCTGCTGTTAAACATGGTTACAATCGCCCAGATCAAATGGAAACCTGATTTTAGAGTTATATATGAAAATACCCCTCTTTTATTATAATTTTCTGCTAATATATATTTTTGGTCGACGTTAATATCTTGTCAGCTCCATATTCTTATTTAATTAATAATTAACATTATAACGCCTGGGTATCCCCATTTGTCGAGTAAAAATGAAAATGGGGGGAGGGAGGGGGGCGGTGTTAAAGAAAAATATTCTAATATGTAGGGGGGTCATCATTAAATTTCTGCTCTTTTAAGGGGGGGGGGCTTTCAATTTTAAAAATTTAGGAAAGAAAAAATTCCCCTCCCCCCTTCCATAAATAATGACCAGTCCCTAAGATCCCCTTCATTGATCTTAATACTCACGATATCCCTCATTTATCTAAATATCATTGAGATCCCCTCACCCACCCTCACGATTATGAAATATGAATATAAATTAACTTCGGGTCGAAAACTATTAATAAAACTATTGGATAGCTACATAATGAAATTTCATATCATCTCGAAGGCCAAACGCCCCCCCCCTTCCTATAGACCCATTGTACATGACGTCACAGCGCCGGTGATGATGCATCTGGAGGACAAATTAGCAATCTGTGCATAATATAACTTTTGTAAACAAAGCAAATTTTGTAAAAGTTTATAATAATTTTGTATTAAAATGGTTAATTTTTGCGCTGTATGTGGTTGTTGTACCCGAATAGATATTGTTAGGGAGCATCTGGAGGACACTCTGAGGATTTGTGACGTCAGTGCAATGGGTCTATTGGCCAGAAAGTAACCAATGTCTGTTGGTAAGAATGGCAACACTGAAACGGGTGGAGAGAGGGTGGAATGAATGCATCAAGGAATGGTATAATACATCTGGATGCATGTGAAAGCTAGATTGTCCCCATGGATATTGCCAACAATTGTATACGTGATTTGATAGTATGACCGAGGCTGTGCAATTATATGAAAATTTTGTTGATTGATAATGATCTAATGTTGTGCTCAGACAGTTCATGAAGAACTTTGACGTACACGAGAAAAGTTAGTAGAAAAAGCTTCGAAGTACACCACGACAATACAAAATAATCTTACCGCAGCAGATTTGGTGAATGCCATTTGTTTCACATCACCAAAATCTGAATACGTGGATTGGCTGGATAACATATCCTATAAGGCGAGTAAGAAGTGTAAGGTAGAGGAACAGTGAGAAAATATCAGTAGGCATGATCACGTTGTGTGAAAAAAAATCTTGTGTAGAAAATGAAATATTATTGATACAATCCCAATTACAGGGTGCGATAATTCGCGTACCAACGTACCGGAGGTACGCCAAATTTATGGTCTGGTACTTCTTTGTTTTTAGGCAAGTACCACGTAGGTACGCGGAAATTTGCTATTCGCGTACTTACATTTTCCTTCTAGCAATAACTAGCAAACCTGCCAAAGTATCCAAAGTATTGAAGAACTTTAGCTATACATGTAAATTCCACGCATCCGACATATTTTGGGATGAAAAAAGCCAAATCTTTGCGCTTGTTAAAAAAATTTATCGTCATCATCCGACTGAAAAAAAATCGCTCGGGTGAGCGATTTTAAAATCTTTATCGTCAAACGCCGACCCTATTTTTTTCGCGATATGAAACCGGAACCACATGTACAGGTTTTTGTTAGGCCCAATGAGGAAAACTACACTGTATGTAGCTGAGGTCAGACTGTTAGCACCCTCGGTAAATCCACTGTAAATGAGCGATGGCATTCGAGTCACAACGTTGACGCTTTGAAAACTGTTATATTATGTAGTTGTACAAATACCATAATTATAAAGATTCATTTGTACAAAATTGCCCATACATTTTTTGCTTTTGGACCAGTAAATTATACGTAGGTATAAAAACGCATGACTCGGAAGTAGTCTTAGGTACGTCTTGACTCTTAAGTTTGTACCAGACCAGGTACGCGGCAAAAGTTGTCGGAGTACCAGTCAGGTACGGCTAATAATATTGAATTATCGCACCCTGCCAATTACACAATCAAACATTTTAAGTAATGTTTGTGCATTTTATACATATTAAAACTACGATTTACCGGCTGCGAGTTGTTGGGACTGGTTTGTTCCCTATAATTAGCCGCCAATCTTTTGTTTTTTTCGACGTCTATAATGAATAAAAGAGATAGATAATATTTGTAAGTCATGAATACACCCTTTCGATAATTACGTTATTTGGCCTGGGAGCCTCGCTCTCATGAATCGTGAGCCAATCACCTTGCGTAATTTCGTGATGAGAGGCGAGGCCCCAGGACCAAAAAGTATGTGTGACGTAATTATCGAAAGGGTGTATTACGAAAATATTTTCAAATATTTTTTTATAAGATTCTGGTTCATTCATGTAAGATGATTAAGCGTCAGACGGTCCACTCTCCTTAACAGAGGCATCTAGCATCCCCATTCTGCGCTTCTAGTCTATCTGTATAAAGCAGGGTAAGGAGGGTAAATTATTCGTGAAGAGGGAACAAATAGGGATGAAATGGGAGACAGAGGACGGGAGCGCGGATTACTCGCCTCGCGGTGCCCTATGCCTGCCCAATCTTGCCCCAAGAAGCCTCGCTTCAGTCTGTGTTTTTTGTTTACATACATACCATATCCATCATCTGATGTGACTACAGCTAAATCAGTAAACTCTTCATTACTTGCGCTGCTTGGCGATTTCTCCAACAGCTTTACAAAAACACAATAAAAGTACTGTATTTCCTGTATTTAGCCCCTTGGGAGCCTATTTTCCCTAATGATTGTGGACTGCATTCGTGACGTAATTATCGAAAGGTTTTATTAAGTACAATTTCATCGGAATACCTGCCATGCAATTTACCTGACGGACATAGTGGTTGAGTTCAGTTTGTCTGGATTGTTGTTGTTGAAGCATCTTTAAAACATCCGTGCTTAAGTTCACAGGTAAGCTTGAATGAGAAATTGCATAAAATAAAAGAAAAAAACCCTACTACAGTAACCAAAAACAAAAGGTAGCGCCTATAAAAACAACAATAATAACTTATGCTGCAATAAATACGCACCAACAAAAATGCTGATAATATCTGTAACACCCGCTTACACTATAGTCTTGCAATTTTACTGCGAATTCTAGTGCGTTTGTCTCCTTCTGATGCATGTGAACAAGCAGATGAGCAGGCCTAACAAATATATTTCTCTTCCTGGCAGCAAAATCCGAAAATAAACATTTCCTGTGTAAGGCAAACATAAAACTTCCTGCATACGCAGATTTCACAGAATGTATGGTGCCGCACACAGTGTGAGTTTGGCACAAGACAATTGCGACTTGCAAATAAGTAAATTATACGGCATTCCAGTGTACAAGATGACAAACATTTCCTGCAAGGTGCAAGACAATTTCCTGCGAAGATATTTTGTTAAACATTTCCTGGCAGCGGTGCTGCTGACCGAGCTGCTGACGCTGCAGGACATTTTCCAGCAGTGCAGATGAGTTACGAATGTTCTGAGTATATGTACCCACACTTGAACAGTCATTTCATCCACTCGTTCACATCCATCGTCAAAAGAAAATCGCACATAAAATTGCAGAATTTCTGTCTCTTTATTAATGGAAATAACTGATCCAGGTTTCTCAAAAATCTAGCGAAAACGAACCTCCTTCTAATTTCATTCAAATATTCCCGTCAGAAAGGTCCGAAGTCCAAACGTTCTGTGTTCCATTCAACAATTTGGTCGTTCTGACCGGTCTGGACGTGTCAATGGAAAGCGCCTACAGTACAGTACAGTACAGTACAGTACAGTACAGTACAGTACAGTACAGTACAGTACAGTACAGTACAGTACAGTACAGTACATTACAGTACATTACATTACATTACATTACATTAGATTAGATTACAGTACATTACAGTACAGTACAGTATACAAGACGGAATAAATATATAAAGGGTCCAAGAATGTATGCAGTACAGTATACAAGACGGAATAAATATATAAAGTAAGGTATTTAAGAATGAATGCAGTATTTATAGAAGACAATGTAACAGTAGGACAATAAACTGCACTACCATATATAAATAATATAGTGATTCAGAGACCAACAAAAAATACTTTGGTATTGCAATTCAATTCCAATCCAAATATTTCCAGAATGCCAAATGCAATAGAGAACAGTACCATACAATACGGCACAGTACACAAGGGATAGTAGTGTAGAACATAGAATAGTTGCATGTGAGGAGACAGTTACTGTACTTACTGTGGTTTGGTAGTCTCTAGATCATCAGGAGATTGCTCTATCAAACTTTCATTTGTTGTCGTTGGACTTATCTCCTGAAATATTTTTATATACTTCTATAAATAAGCCAGGTTAGTTTCCACAAAGAATTAAGTTAGTTAAGATATACTGTAGTTAGCCTAATACTTGGCACACTTGCCAACATCATGCAGGAATTTTCTTAGTCATTTAGTAATGTAACATAAAAAACCTCGGGCAAAGCCGAATTGCTGATTCAGCTCTGCGGTTAGGCCAAGGTTTTCGTCGTCCAGGATAATCGTAGTTTAAAATTTGCTCTATAGTTAACGAGGCTGTACAAATACCGTACTCGAGAGAAATTATAAACCTCAGACCGAGGGAATTACATAAATGATATTATTTATCCCGAATACTCACAGGTAGAATTATCAAACAAAATATCAAATTATTTATATGTTTGTGCATTATTCCCCTTCAAAATAATTTACAATTAACCCTTCAAGCGAGGTGTAGGACCGTGTAACTTGCCAGGAATGCGAGCAAGCTACGGCGGTGTGTAGAAAATCGAAAATTAAAAAAATTCCTCAGAAAATTATTTTTGAAAACAAGAGAAATACAACTAATACTGACCTGTTCTTCTATTTCAGGGTCTTGTGAGCTTTGAGGAGGATAATGAGTACTCTGCCCATTCCTTTGTTGTTTCTGACCGTCATTCCCTTGGAATGTACGCCTTAGCTCATTGACAACAGCTTCACCCGGGACGTAGGATGTACTTGGATATGTTACATGCGTTGTTGTGTCTGCAGGCATTGTGGGCAGTCTTACCCAGTTATGTACCGAGTCATCACTCTCATTCTTTGCGATATGTGTAGCATGTGTGTAATGTAGTGCTTGTTGTGGATGACTTCTGTTACTGATGGCTGACGACTGCATCACATGACCATAATTGTCAGGTGTTACAAAAGACGAAAAAGCGCGTGTTGACTCACGAAGGGGTCCAATGTGTGCGGCACTCGTGACAAGGGCTGGTGTCTGCCGTAACATCCATGTCTTAAAACAAGAAAGGATTTTTGTTAAACGTCCTGTGTACGATATACAGTACAAGTTAAGCTGACAGCTACTGTACCTGAAGGTGTTACCGTGCGATATAGACAAGCATAAGGGGGTTGTTTATGCGTACAGGACGCCATTAAAGACAATGGTCAAACAAACTCGTTGAAAAATATAGTATTGCATTGGAACTATCGTTTGTAAATTTAATACAATCTAAAAGCTTATAACTGGGCAATACAGTACCAATGACAGTGCAAGAGCTCTACGAGCCTCTACCTTGACCTCAAGGTTATCATTACATTGTTGGGTAATTAAGTTATTGCTATACAGAAGGTTTTATATAATACCTTATTAAATTCTAATCGTTTAATTGGCTGTTTATGGTCACGTGATATTGAATAGAAAATTCCATTTCCCAAGAGTGCAATGGAACACGTTCCATTGCACTCTCCGCGAGTGCAATGGAATAAAACGTATAGTACAATTGCACTCGTTGTGTTTTCGATAAATCGCATCCCTCAAAATGCTTCTCATACGAATCTATTAGTCTATTTTGGTATTATATAAAACAAATAATGAATGTTTCTTCGTGCAATGGTAAGAATATTTTCATTCGGTGGAAGATGGAATGTTCCATTCAACTCGGCTGTCGCCTCGTTGAATGGAACATTCCATCTTTCACCTCATGAAAATATTCTTACCATTGCACTCATAAACATTCATTATTTGTATAATATGGAGCCAAGTTCGACTCGAGATCATCCTGTAGTAGTCATTGTACACTGGAGTGTGGACACGTTGGCTCATGAATATAATTTGTTCATGGGATTAAAATAATTTAGTCACTTTTTAATCAAATTAGTGCAAAATATCTTAAGATATTATCCTTACCGAATCATGACGCCCGTTAGTACCAACAGTTCCCACAGTATTTTCTGTTGTGGCAGTCAGTACTGACATTGCTTCAGCACAGTGAGATTGCATCATCTTTTGAAGTCGGGTGATCATCTTATGTCTAGCACAGGAAAATATGTCAGGTAGAATATTCCACTGATGACACATATATGTCTGGGTGTATTCTGCATTTTTATTTCAAGTTGCATGCACATCAGCGTGAAGTACTGTAGTGTGTGTTATTAATGGTGTAATCGAATTAATTTAAGCCTTTTGATTGTGTAGCGTGAGTTTGGTTACCCTTTGAGAATGTTAAATTGTAATCATGTGCATAACTTAGATACAAGATACATTTATTTGCCACAAATATTAAGTTTACACATAGTAGTAATGGCAAGGAGACCTCATGAATTTAGATTAGTGCGACATGAATGGAAACGATAGTTATTTGCTGATCTAGTGTTATAATTGTGTATACTTGGTTGCTAGTTACAAACATGTGAAGAAATACTTGTGGTAACATCTGTTTGTGGTAACAAAACATAAACTTAGATATATGGAACGAGTTAACTTGAAAAATGTCTAGTAAACCTAATTGTGAAAAAAAAAGGAGCAGAATGGGCACGAAAGTCCGAGTTTGTTATGACTCGCACAGCACGCTTTTGTTATGTTGATGACCAAGCTAAGTTACAGTAAATTATATATGATTGTTGGATAAATTAGAGTGTAATAAAGAGATACTTTGGTTTTAGTTGATAAATAAAAGCGACATCTGTGTAATATACCTCCGGATTTGGAGATCTTTTTGGAAACATAACTGATGTGTTGTTTCCAAGTAAGATGTTCATCTATATGTACTCCCAAAAATTTGATAGTTGTTTTTTGCTTAAGCATTTCGTTATCGTAACAAAGAGATTATTTCTAATTTGTTTCCTATTGGATTTGAAAATGAAATCATTCATCATA